CATGCATAAGAAAATGGGCCAATGAAATTCCTTATGCACATGCTTTATGCGTTATGCAAAAGTGTGTGTTGGGGCTCTGACGAAGCCGAGTACTTAAGCATGAGCTTTGTTAAGGCAGTCTCAAGCTCAAACTCGAGTTTTCAAGATACATTTATGCATGTAAGGCATTCTTAAGCTAGTTTTGGACCCTAAGTCGATCTTGACGAAGACTATCTCAAGACAGATCTTAAGCAACGTCTATGGATTCCGCCCTTAATCTATTTCTCTCTGTCAATCTACTCGCCTTCACCTTCAAGCATGGTGGAATTTCCACCATGCTTTCAAGAGACTATGCTCCTTCCAGTACTATATGTTCTAAGGTCTCTACCAACGACATATAGACGGAGCCTTTCACCGAGAGGTAAGGAATAATCACGGTGAGAGGGGTAAGGTCACTTCGACTAGTTTCGTCGTGACTCGAACATAGAGATAGTAGTACTAGAGTACGCATTGTCGGAAATTTGAGGAGTGGGGGTAATTCTATCTAGAAAAGGACGCACTCATTTGGAACCACTGATATGTATAATATGGATAGCGGATGGGCTGCAATTCGTGTGCCGACTTGAGAGCCGCCATGTTAACTCGACTGTGTCATTTTCGGGAATTGTCGGTATCTGTCGGGTGCATTCGTAATGTTTACATATGTCGCGTTATATGTCATATATTACGGACGCGTTTCGGTTCGGGTGCTCTTCAGTGTATATTTTTGAAAGTGGTGCCGACTTTGACTGTGCATTGTATCATACAGATGCGTGTCCGCGGTTGAGCTCGTCTCGATTGTTCGTCATTTTGCACCTTTTAACGACCTGGGCTCTCATGACGCGCGTTATTGCGGCGTGACGATATCACCCACTTTGGTTTCACACATATCTTTTGAAGCATATAATTTCCTTTTGGCACGACTGGCCACGTTTATCCGGATTTACCGGAGCCTGGGCCATCCAAATTTAGAAGAAATTATAGATTTGGTGATCGTTTTTGTAAATGCAATATGAAGTGCTATTTCTGTGGGAAAAAGGCAGAGAAGATTGCATCGGTGCAAAGAACTCTTCATCGGTAAGGGAAATTTACTAATAAATTACGTTATTGAGGTTATGCGATAAGTTTAACCAATATTTATTCTTGCTATATTTCCTTGCTATATTTCCTTTGCTTTTTCTTCTTCTATATTTATTCTTTCTATTTATGTTTATACTGATTTCAAAGCTCCCGCGGAACCGCTATCCTTCATTCCCCACTTCCCCCACTTCTCAAATGACACACCTGAGTCAACATGGCGACCCTTCTATTCAGCACAAAAATTTAGCATTGCTGGTATAGGGCATTCGCTATCCATATATACATATCAGTGTTTGGAACCATTTCGTTCTCTCTCGTTTCGCGCATGCGTATAGCCGTATACTCTGAGAGAGGGGATCAAAAGAAAGAATAAGGAATTGAAAGAGCAACCCTTGGCACTGGGAAACCCTTAATCTTATCAAAGTCAATTCTTTGTTAGATTCCAAAGAGATCAGGCTTGTCCGGTCATTCTTGGAAAGCCAAAAATTTCTTTCCGCGAAACTTAACTAAACCATATGAATTTGACTATCTTTATAAGAAACAATCTGGTGGTGCTGGCCAATGCCATATGCTCGCATAACTGGAATTATAGAGGTAAAAGTAATAGATTTTTATCATTAATATTTATTGATATTATTCATCGAGAGCCCTTAACCTTATCAAACTCAATTCTTTGTTTGATTCCAAAGTGATCAGGCTCAATCAGGCTTGTCCGGTCATGTAATGATGAAACTTTTCTCGTTCGACTCGTTCTTTCTTTCGATCCCCTCTCTCAGAGTATATGGCTATACGCATGCGCGAAACTAGAGAGAACGAAAAGGTCCAAATGAGTGCGTCCTTTTCTAGATAGGATTACCCCCACTCCTATAATGCGTACTCTAGTACTACTATCTCTATGGACCCGAATAGTAATCGGTGGTTCTCAACCAATTCTCAACAGCCGCGGTCCGAAATATGCATGTAGTGCTACCGATACATAAAATACGTCATGTATACTATATATATTATTTTAGCGTGCCGATAACGCTGTAAACATATTTTGGATAAATTATTAAACATAATATGTAATAAAATGCATTTAATATTATTTTATATTATTTATAATACTGCAGTGTTTTGTTACTGCAGTGTTATCCTGATTTAATAATAAAATATAAACTTTTATGGAAAATAAATAAAATATATATACTTGTTCATATAAATGTTTTTACTTACACATGAAATGAAATTTTTCGTTTCAGAATTCTTTCCATCTTTAACTGTTCCTCGTTTTTTCTTTTAGTCCAATTTTTGCACTTAGAAACAACGCAGACACTCATTTTTAGAAACGTAACTTTGCTGTAAAGTGCCGTAAACAGATACAAATAGATATGAGATGAGAATAGAGCATTTCACGTTATGACGTCATACAGCAAGATGGCCGAATACTGGAGGACAAGTGTATACAGAAACCTTATGGGAAGATAGTTTATTTTTAAAATAACTCCGTAAGGAAGGGTTTCTCGAAAAAGTGCCAAGTTATAAAATAGTTTTTATTTTTTTTGAAAGCTGTTAAATAAAATAATAATTTCGACATAAAAAAAATGATTGAAAATTTTTATGTCATTAAATAGCTTTCAAAAAAATAAAACTATTTTATAACTTGGCAATTTTTCGAAAAACCCCTTCCTTACAAAGTTATTTTGAAAATAAGCTACCGTCCCATAAGATTACTATATATGCTTGTCCTCCAGTATTCGGCCATCTTGCCGCATGACGTCATAACGTGAAATGTTCTATTGGTAAAGATCCTCCTAGTGGCGACCGGTAGCAGCTTCGCTAGTCAGATATTTTATACGTGCTCACAGATGTCTATACTATACTAGATCGCTAACTTCGTCAAAAACAGTCGAAAGGACTGAAGCCGGCCGGATCTCCGATTTCGGCCATGATGGGAACAAAAAGATGGCGACGGTGCGTGTGTAGTAGTGCGTATATGAGTATCCTGCGTGTGTGTTAGTGCGTATGTGTGACATCAGCCGGCAGCCACACGTGTCAGAAGTAGGAGCTTCCAGAAATACCCACGGCACGGCCAAATTTTTTAAACGCACATCACTTGCGCCTGGTCTTTCCAAAAAATCTATATGTACAAAATGGGCACTACAGATTAAATCATTCTTCTTTAAAGTCTCCTCCGATGACCACACGTGTGTCGATTTTTCTACATATATTAGTAAAAGAAAATAAAAATGCCGAAAAATTGTTGCATTTCTAAATGCAAAAATACACGAAAACAAGGTATTCATTTCTTTAGGTAAGTAGAAAGTATTTATGTGTAATAAATATAAAAATATTCGAGGTTCATGATATGAGAAGGTTATGTTTCAATTAAGCATTGTTAATTTTTCAGATTACCATTTACGCGCGTCCAGATATATTACAAATTTGGATCAATGCCATCGGAGGAGACTTTGTTCCAAAGAAGAATGACACCGGGAACACACGCGTCATGTGTAGGTGCTTTTTCATGCGCAGCACGCTGCAGCAGCAATTCGTTACTATTGGTTAAGAATTTTATGTAAGCTAGATGACGCACTTCCGGCGCAAAATACATTTTGCCACAGTTCGTTGAAGTTGAACCGAACGAACAGCAAGCAGCAAGCAGCAAAATCGAGAAAGCGTACGATATGTCCGTCGTTTCATTATGAAAATATTATTTATAGCAATAAATATTAGGAAAATAAACGAAAAATGGCTTCGGATAAGGTACGGATACATGTTTGTAAATTAGATCATTTTATACTTTACCACAAATTTGAAAAAGTAAAGTGTAAAGTATAAAATGATCTAATTTACAAACATTCGTACCTTATCCGAAGCCATTCTTCGTTTATTTTCCTAATATTTATTGCAATAAATAATATTTTCATAATGAAACGACGGACATATTGTACGCTTTCTCGATTTTGCCGCTTGCTGCTTGCTGTTCGTTCGGTTCAACTTCAACGAACTGCGGCAAAATGTATTTTGCGCCGGAAGTGCGTCATCTAGCTTACATAAAATTCTTAACCAATAGTAACGAATTGCTGCTGCAGCGTGCTGCGCATGAAAAAGCACCTTGTGGCTGCCGGCTGATGTCACACATACGCACTAACACACATGCAGGATACTCATAAACACACTACTACACACGTACCTCGCCATTTTGTTGTTCCCATCATGGCCGAAACCGGAGATCCGGCCGGCCTCAGCTCTTTCGGCTGTGTTAGCGATCTAGTATAGTATAGACATCTGTGGATCGAAGTCAACCCGACCCGGAGTCGGGTCGAGTCGGTTAATCGAAAACGCTATAACTCTCCACGAAAAGTCAACAAAGAATCATTTAAGGTACCTTTTCATGCTGACGTTTGACGCTCATTTTCAGCATCAAAACAGATCACGTGATAAGAATTGACGAATAGCAAGTGCTAATTTTAATCACGTGATCTATTTTGACGCTATAAATGAGCGTCAAGCGTCAATACGAAATGGTACCTTTAGCCCGGATCCTCATACGGACAACAACGCTTTGACACCGGACGCTGATTGGTGAAAAACGGGTTATGGGGGTAAATTTTACCCTCGCCACCGGTTTTTCACCAATCAGCGTTTGGTGTCAAAACGCTGTTGCCCGTATGAGGATCCGGGCTTACGCTTCTTCAACGTTTCAGGAAGCTTTCTATTTTCGCCAAGGTAATACCTCGTCGATGTTTTTACTGAAGCACTTACACAGTCACTCTTAAAAATAAATATTAATTATTTTTACAATTTTTAACTTGAAAGATTAACGTACATATCAATCTATTAGTATGAAAATCAATTTAAGAAATTAACATTAATTTCCAATGCTTATCGTAACTGGAACCATTAACGATATATCTTGGTTTATTTATGGAACTAATTATAATTTATCTCATAACGGGGAATAACACACAAACTATTTACAATAAACACATCGCGTTGTACGAGTGACATTGACTGTTCGTATGTATTTGCATGAGTTGGTTAAAAAAGAAAAGGAAAAAAAGGAAATGTATAACAAGAGTTCAATGTGATACATGTATGCTGATTTCGTGAATAAAGCAATCTTAATGGCTTCATTCGTGATGAAGATGATTGTGACGATCACGATCTAAAATTATCTTCGTTGCACATTGCGTCCCTTATTTTACGACTATAGGACACATAAGTACGATAACAGTGTTTTATTATGATAGCGCCTTGCACTGTTTGCAGTTTTCCATTCTCTCATTAAATTCCTCTATTTGCAACGTCATCTCAAAGAATTTGTATTTGTCGTGGATATTTCGTGTAGCGGTGCGTAAAATGTTCTGGGGACTCGATCCAGGTTCTACGAATAAAAATATCGCATTGTTTCAATAAAAAATAACTATCGCAAAATAACAAATATGACAATAATAGGAATGTGAATAATTATCTATGTGATTAAAATTTAAGAGCCTAAAAGATAAACGACGAAATACAAGAATTGATACAGTTTTAAATCGAGAAATATATAATATAATCTAATAAGATAATAAATGCTAATAAATCTATCTAGTACAGGTGCGAGAATTTGAAATATCTATAAATATGAGCACATTTTGTGATAGTGTACATTATTTTAGGATTTTAGTTTGATTACATAATTAAAATGCATAAATAAAAAGTATACATGTTGAATTGTATTTTTGGGTGTACGTACTTATTGCAAGATGCGCTGACAGAGCAGTCTTGTCAAGTGAAAGCGCCCAGATTCTAAGATTATGCACCTTAACGACTCCATCTATTTGCATGAAGGTGTTCTCCACATGCGAGTAGTCGAAACCCTTAGGAATACCTTCCATCAAGACATTAATTACATCTTTAATAATCGCCACTGTAGTGAGAATAACTAATATCGAGAAGAGGAATGTACATATTGGATCCACTAAGCTCCAACTTGGCTGAAATATTAAACGATTATTAGAAGCATACTTTGGAATCATGCGATTTCAATAGATAAGCCTGTTTTTTCATTGTACCACGAAAATATCAGGAAACTTCTGTAAAAGATAAATGAAGAACGTAGGAATGACAATTTTTGAAAACTTTATATCTTTATATTTCGTGAGACACGATAAAAATATGCAAAAATATACGTTGATATTAGGTGCTAAACTTAGTTTCCGCGGTTCGCATTTAGATGACGCTACTATATAGTTATAGGTATAATTTACTTTGACATCTGAAACTGGCTGCATTTTAGAGATTAGATATGTATTTGTCAACATCAATGCGAAAAGACTCATTAAGCGAATAGTGCAAATTTTAAATTAAATATAGATCGTGATAAGTTATTTTTTCGATATGTGTTGCTTCATTATTTTGATTTGAAAAAAAACTGCAGCTGCAGCTCATAAATTGCTTGTCGAAGTTTATGGCAATTATACTCCATCGGAAAGAACATGCCATGGTTTCAGCAATTTATTATAAAAGTGATGATTATGATATGAATGATAACCCAGATAACCAAACCTGCCAAAAGTATGCATTGTAAATTTATGCTATATATTATAATTGCAAAAATCGAGCAGCAGTCGAACACTGTTTACCGTATCAATATAGCGCTAACAGAAATACAGTAAAAATAGAGCAGATCTACGTCATAATACACTAGCAAAAATTCTATAAAAATTCAATAAACGTTACTGGAATAAAGCAAGCAGAATTCGAGCATTACATGCTAGCAAAATAAATTAACAAAAAATATATCAAAACTTGTTATAAAACATGACGACATGTTAAATCAGCAAAATATAGTTAGAAATATGGCACACTCGTTGTCATATCATGACAGCAAAATCCAGTGAGAAATGACAATGGAATCGACGTCGGTTCCATTGGCATTTCTCACTAGGAAAGGCAGTAAAAATACCGCAAGACCTGACATAATTAAGTACTGACAGCAAAAACGCAGCAAAAATCGAGCACAGCCTGTCGTCACGTCGTGTCGTTTTTGCTGTCAGTACTTGATTATGTCAGGTCATGTTGTATTTTTATCGTGTTTTTGCTGTGATAGCAAATAATGATTGATTTTTGTTGTATTTCTATCGTTGTGTTGGCAGGCTAAGCTGTTAGAAACTAAGCTCAATGAGGAAATAGCAGCAAGATATCTGCTGTAACGTCATGATCAAGTTTGTTGGTATACTAGCTAGTAGCTGCTATAAGCATTTTGTTATCTGGGAAACAATGTTCAGACCAACTTAAAAAGTTTGAAGACGCCGAATTGCAAACATTATTGGACGAAAACTTAGCTCAAACGCTCCAACAATTATCTGCAGTATTGAACGTTACTCCGATGGCTGTTTCCAAACGTCTACATGCAATAGGAAGGATTTAAAAGGAAGGAAAATGCTTACCGCACAACTTAATCGAAAATGCTATTGCTATCGCTTAAATATTTCTATTTTTCTGCTCGCTAGACAGAAAAAAGAAGAGTTTTTTTGTGGCGTATTGTGACTGACGATAAAAAGTGGATATATTTTGATGATCCCAAACGCAAAAGGTCATGGATGGACCCCGGCCAACCATCACATCTACACGAAAACGAAATGGTCACAAAGCAATGGCTGCGTTCAGCGGAAAAAGCAGCTTTGCAACTGTTGTAAAATTCTTGAATATGATTGGCTTATACATTTAGATCTAATGAAGAAGTAAGGGCAAGACCAATCATATTAAAGAATTTTGCAACAGTTACAAAGCTGCTTTCTCTGCTGAACGCAGCCAATGCTCTGCATTGGTAGAATTTGTAAGGCGTCGTTTACTACGAGCTACTCAAACCGAACAAAAGACGTTCGATATTAATTACAATTGAACCGTCTGAATGAAGCATTGTTGGAAAAAAGGTCAGCAGTAACCAGCAATAGACGCAAAGTTATACTTTTGCACGACAGCGTTCGACTACATGCTGCTGTAAGATATCAATTAAGATCTACGTGTCGGGCTGTGGCTCCGCGGCAAGGCGGTGGCTTTGTGTTTCGAACTACATACGAGGTCCTCGGTTCGAGTCCCGACATCGCGTCGAGCGTCCGACATTTTTTCTCGGCCCAGCTTACAGCTTCAGAAGTGGGATACAACCAACTTCCCTCAGCAAGAAAACCTGACTTTTCAAAAATTAATTTCCCCTCAGAAATTGAGGTTTATTGAGCGGACAGTGGACTCTCAGCAGGATTTGGAAATAGACTACGTGTCCCTGTGAGAATTACCACGCGCTTCTCAACTTTACCGACAGTGAATTACTCAGCGGGATTCCGATAAGGCTACTTGCCCCCGTGAGTTTCTCATAAACATCACTGTTTGACGATCATTCGGGACGAATGACATTTCAGGCTGGCCGAGCTGTAAGATATCAATTAAGATCTACGTGTCGGGCTGTGGCTCCGCGGCAAGGCGGTGGCTTTGTGTTTCGAACTACATACGAGGTCCTCGGTTCGAGTCCCGACATCGCGTCGAGCGTCCGACATTTTTTCTCGGCCCAGCTTACACTGCAAAAGCCATCAAGGAAACACTGATGCAGCTCGAGTGGGAAGTTCTCCCGCACCCAGCGTATTCACCAGACTTAGCTCCTTTCAGATTATTACTTGTTCCGATCGATGCAGCACGGCTTAGTGGATACACACTTCAAAAATTACGAAGATGTGCAAAAATAGATCGACGAATGGATTGCTTCAAAAGACCAATCGTTCTATTGTCGCGAAATCCATTTATTCTTCTTCTTCTTGATTAATGGCTCCTGCCTCTCTCTAAAGTATGCGGAGACAATACGGTCAGATTACGTCTTTTGTAGATTATATCTTTGGTAGGTACAATAACAAAAGTGATGCAATGCCCGCGAAAATGGCGTTGCCCGAACGAACACCGAGCGCCTGCGTCTACGACATCGTCATAAAGCCCATGGCACATACAAAAACGTAAGGCCGTAAATGTAATCAGTAAGCGTTTTGGCCAATCACAGTAGAGACCGTAAGGCCGGTAGCGAATCCAATGTTATAATTTCCTTATACTGATTACGTCTTACGGCCTTACGTTTTTCTATGTGTTTCTGACTTAATAATGCGCGTCAGGACGAACGGACGAGTCGAGCCCATCCGCAGACACTCATCAGTGAGGATCAATTACTCAGTCGAAGTCGGCAACACTTTCAAAAATATTAGGTTGAATGCACCCGATCCGAAACGCGTCCGTCGCGGTCGAATGGTTTTCTTCGGAACTCCACTTATTCTTCTATTGGGAGTTCAAATTAATTTGGTTCGTTTTCCAAAAGATGATCGTCTCCAAAGACGAGTCATTTTTTCGAGATGGAATTCGAAAATTGCCTGAGAGATGGGGAAAAGTAGTAGCCAGCGATGGACAATACTTTAATTAATCCGTTCATTCATTTTGTTTTGAAATAAATGCATTTTTGGACACAAAAAACGGACCGAACTAATTTGTACACCTAATATTTCCACTTATTCTATTCTATTATACCCGAAAGATAGGAAAAATGTATAGCTAGCGAGGGCAAATACTTTGATTGACGTATTTTTTAATTGCTTTTGATATCGAGATAAACGAGTTTCTTAAGCAAAAAAAACCGCGAAAACTAAGTTTATTATACCTAATAAATTACTAATAAAAGTTTGAAGATACCTTAAAATAAATGACTAATGCAGCGATGAATACTCCCACGCTTTGAATAAAATCACCCAAAACATGAATGAATGCAGCGCGTACGTTGATATTCTTTTTTGCTTGCTCTCCTTTGAGACCGTCATCATGTCCATTTTCCACATCGTTTCTATCGTGATTGTGCCCACCATGACTGTGTCCGCCATGACTGTGGCCGTGCTGATGCAACGACAGGCCCATTCTATAATATCACATACATACATATAATGCATATATTTCTCTCTAAAACAGTTAAATAAAGATGCAAGTTTAATTTTGAAAATTTTGTTATAGCTATAGTTTATATCTAACATTTTCAGCTAATTTTTTTATTTAAATTAATAAATAAAGTTTAAAAATCAAGCTATTCATGTAAATCCAATTAATTCTCAAAAAAATTCTCATTTCGTATATTTAAATTAATTTGTATATTATTCGCGATTACAGTACGCGAGGGAATGCTCCGTCCGTAAGTAATACAGTCTGGCTATACCTATATTCGCTACGACAGCAAAATCGTGACACTTATTATAATATAATATTCTGCCAACCTTAATATTTAGCAGCAAATGCTATTTTATTGAATCTTTAATTACGAAAGCGCTGTGACAGCTATTAAAAAAGTCAAAAGGTATAGCCACAGCTATTTTGACTGTATTAAATTTTAAAGGACCGTCAGTGTAACAATATAACTATACGAATCGAAGTCTATAACAGTCTAGCTGAATCTTACAGTTGCTTATATATAATTTCGTGTGAATTTATATACTGATATATGTAGTCTTTCTAAACTGCGTCGAACAATTGTCGGTCTTGAAATTATGCAATTCTAATAAATCACTGCAGTACTATCACGAATTATAAATTGATTAACAATTTAATAATTATTTGATGCTCTCTTTGGCTAGGAATTGGCTAGGACACTTGCGCGCAGGAAGTAAGATATAAGGAGACTCCACTCCGTAAAATAAAAGTGGACCCATTTTAGGTTTCGAGTTCAGTTTCCGATTCTGATGAGTGCGAGTAAGAGAAATGATCATTTCTCTTACTCGCACTCATTATGCGCAGCACTACTAAATTCACGAGCGCTGCGAGTGTCGAGAATCGGAAACTGAACTCGAAACCTAAAATAGGTCCATGTTTTGTAGACTGGCGAAACTGAGTGGAGTGGATATATCTCCTTACATCTTCCTTCATGCTTGCGCGTAAAGCGAGCGGTCCGCCGACTACCGGAAACAGTCAAAACGCACAATTATTTTATCTGTACTGATTCTATAAAGTCGCTGTGATAGTTATCTGAAACCAAAAATAGCCTCTGCCATTTTTGCTACTTTTAAAGTTAGAAAGTGAATAGCTAACGAGAACTTTAAAATGAAAAGAAACTAGCAAAAGCTTAGAAAATTCGATTGTAATTTTGCATTATCGAAAGTAAAGAATAATGTGATTATCAGTTGTAACATATAAGTATATCATAGCAAAAAGAGCGGACATGGGTCCCCATGCATTCATTTATGTAGCTCTAAAATTAGTACTTACGAATGTATGTGTATACTTCTGTAATCAGTGTTATTTATGAATTTTCATCCGCGCTAGTACATTTATATGTACATACATTATAAATTGTAATAATTTGTAATGATTAATTAATATTTAAATTTGATCTTACAATCAATGAAACAAAACAATTGTCAGAGGTCCCAGTTAAAGCAGAAAAGAAACTTTTCCAATTCTAATATAAAGAGACAAGAGCAATGAGCCAATAAAAATTCGTTAAAATCTTTTTAAATTAATCTGATATATTGCGAAGAATATCACGTAATTATGACTTTTCGTCCCAGCTTCCACTTACTGATGAGTCCAGTAGTGGAAGCTGGGACAAAACGCCATAATTACATGATATTCTTCGCAATATATCAGATTAATTTAAAAAGATTTTAACGAATTTTTATTAACTCATTGCCCTTATCTCTTTATATTAGTTTTCAAAAACTTATTGAATCTTATTACAAACAATTTTTCTAATTCTCTTTTTATAAATTTTCTATTTTTATATATTTTAAAATTAAAAATTAACTTTTATTGATTTTATTAATTAAAAAACATTCTCCTTTATTAGTCTGTTTATCTTTATTCCGACTACCACTGATGTAATACGAGACAACATTTTTCCAACAAATTAGTTTTATACTCAAATGGCTGCGATATTGTTCTCAAAGTCTAAAAATATTATTCAATTTTTGTTGTTACAACTCTGTTGAAATGCTCTAATGACATTGTGACGATAGCTCTGTTACATGTTGAAGTTTAAACAACGTTATCGGAAACATTTTACAGCTTTGTCGTGTGACAACCTCTTTATAGCAAAATATGTAGTTATGCAGTCAAACTGGCTCGTCTGACATCGTCTCTAATGTTGCCTATTTTTACTGCTATAATTTTTAAAACGTCACAATGACGTTATTGGAGTACCTGTAACAAAAGTGGTGTAATTTAAACTGCGACGTTATCGCAGTTTTGAAACTTGAATGTGCTACTCGAGTCCATTAATGTTACATTAAGTACATTGTAAATCCCATTGTTACAGAAATCGTGTACGTGTAACATGTTGCTACATATGAATAGCCGTTTGGTTTGTACAGACGATTAAATAAATATTATCTTTAATGATATCACTAACACTAGATTTACCGCAACACCAACTGCAGATGTGATCAACATCACCGTTGCATCCAACTCAAAGTCTTTGTGGACAATTCTTTCTATCGCGAGGTAGAATAAAATGCCGGTAACTACCCATATTAATAAAACCGAAGTCAATGCCCCGATGACCTAAACAGCGAACAGAAAATTTCCTATTATCAATTTCTGCGTGTTGCAATATTTCTATTGTTTTATAAAATACTACTCTGCAGAAAAGAATTTCCAAGATACGTTATAAATTTTTCCGCGTGCATTAACCGTCTTTTTTTTTTATTAATACAACTCCATAATACATCACAAATAATTTCAAAATTAATTAAAAACAATTTTTAGTTAAATTTTACGCACTATTTATCCCGTGTGTATATCATTCTCCATTCACTAATATTAGGTATATCATATTACTCTATAACATTTTATATAATTAATAATAATATAAATTATACTTATTTTTATTAATAAGATTCGACTAGTTTAATTTCATTCAATACCTGAATATCCGCACATCAAAGAACAGAAAAATACTCACCTCCGCTCGATACCAACCAAAAGGCATTTTTTTAGTAGCTGGTCTGCTGGCAACCCAGATGGAAAACAGAGATATCATAAAAGATGCAAAGTCAGTCAACAAATGTGCGGCATCAGTTGCTATCGCCAAACTATTCGATAATACTCCGCCTAGGAAGAAAAAGAAAATTAAGAAAGAAATTTATGATAACTTTGTCCATAAATAACTTTTGCAAAGTATTTTTGTTTATGCAGATAACGCATTTTGTTATATTACCGACAATTTCTGCTATCATAAAAATAACGCAGAGCGCACTGGCGATCAACAACTTCTTTCGGGCTTTCTTGTCAATCTCTTCGTTTCTCTCTCTGTGACAATGATCTTCTGGAGATACTAAAAATGATCGCAAGAAAGGAATATAAGTGTTTAGTTAAAAAAACGAGTTACTGGAAAAATCAGTCAATTAAATGTCAATTAAAGTTATGTGATTTTGATGTAAAAATTATATTTTAATATAATAAAATATAATAGATATTTCTTAGTCTTCCCGGTTAATTTAGAACGCACTACAGAATTGGATGAATATTTTCTTCTAATGATTTGTCATTGTTATCTCTATTTTTCAGATAATTTTAATTCACTTTCTAATTTGTCACTTTTTTAAATAATCAAATAGCAAAGATATATGCTAACCAAAAGGATAGACAACGCGTGAAGGGTCATCACACATTTTTCTTAAAAAAAAGTTAAAATTGTTCGGTGACTAAAGAAACTAGCATAAAACGCGTTTTATGAAAAAGAGCAAGGTTTATTGTAGAATAACCGTAGTGCACTGAAACTTCCGTATATGGATAAAGTGAAACTAAAACTTTAAATGTGTTTTTCTCGAAAATTTTCTTTAAATGTTTTCGACCTTGGAAAAATGATAACTAAAAACCTAATTAAGATAATCTCTTAGTTTTTTCTTTTGTTTCCTAACACTTTTGCGCAGGAACTACAATTAAGTTTTTACAACAAAAATTTAATGTTTTAAAAATGAAAAATAATAATTTTTGGGTAAAAAACCTTTTTTATTTCATTATTCTGTAAAATTCTCTTTGAAAAGTTCGTGAAAATAGAATAATTTTACAGCCGGCAAAGGTGAGAAAGGCCCTTTAAATCACATCATTATATGTATACATATATACTCGTAAAGAAAACGTACATGGATTTTGTTGATAGTCCGCAGCTGTATTTTCGTCGCCAGAACCTTTCACAACCGTACAACAACCAGACAATTTTCCATGAACACAGAAGATGACCTTCCTTGGTGACATTTCATTTTCCTCGTCTTCATTATTATTCGGGGGAATGCTCGTTCCATAACCATAAATCGCTTTATCCTTAAATCTATAAAACATCATTATACATTTCTATTTTATACAGTTGAATATTATTAAAGTAACGGTACAAAGAAAACCATTTTTACATAAGAATGACTTTTGATTTCACTACGACGCGACAATCGTGCTTTTTTATAATATTGTGCAATGAAAGAAAGTGATTTTGCATTAGCAAAATAATCGTGCATTTGTATTTAATGGATAATTATTTTAAGTCAATCATCTGATGTCAATTTTATTTTTATTGAACTTTTTGGATACGTCAAAGTAATCTTGGTAGCTTGTTATTTGTCAATCAACAACAAATCACAATATCAAAATTTACGTCAATCCCGGGACTATTTTTTATACTTCGTGGCTTTCTTTGATAAGATTTAATGGAGATATTCCATTCTTGGTTGATGTGATAAGAGGTACTATAACAGTATATTATTTATGGAACCCGGTATAAAGTCCACCAAGTTATCCATTTAAAAAATTTGAACTTGTAACAGAATCTATTTCCTGATCAGAAATTTATCGAAAATAGCTTACATAGGTTGCTTACATAATTTGGTTAATTTGACTTACTGTATTTTAAAGAGTGATTTAATATTTTATTCCTTATTTTTTATCAAATTAGATAGATATATCTATTTCTAAACGTAAATTTATGTAATCAATATTTTAGAAAAAAGAAAGAAAAAACAATGTAAAAAAATGAGATATATATATATATATATATATTTACTCTACAGTCTACACTGAAAGAAAAAATTGGCTACTGCAATAATTTAGATGGTGAAATATGGCATAAAATCCAATTCTTGGTCACGTTAGTTATCCGCAATGGCTACTATAAATAAAAATTGGCTGCTGCAGCCAATTAAAAATGCTATGCCATATTCAGCCAATTCTTTTTAATTATATTCTAATTGTGTAAGCAATTCAATGAATCACACACATATATATATATATATATATATATATATGTATGCATTGTTGACATTGTTACACGCTTTAACAACGGCAACACATTATATATACGTAAATACGTGACCAGTTCTTATCGCTTTTTACAGAATGCTATTATCTATTAGCCAGATATCTCAATGATGCCGTGCGCAAATGCGTATTCGTTATACGCGTTCCTATATATGCTCTTCTGTTACTGTTTGTGATTCAACTACGATGACGATAATGCCGTGTGCAAAATCACACGATCGAAGAATATCGATGGAGATAAAGGTTCGTGATATCGTGTACGCCATTACATCAAAAAAATGTGTAAAGAACTGAATAAAATCGCATTTGAATTTCTTTGGAACATTTTTATATTATATCGTATTAATACATACACATATGTATGTATACACACATGTAAACATATATATACATATAATTAATATAAGATGAGATCTAAAAATGATAATAAAAATAGTAGTTTTGTAGCTTCTCAAGAAATAAATACATGTAAAATGCCTATATGAGCATCTATATGGTTGTTAGTGTTTAGAAAAATATATAATACATATATTGGTAAAGAATTGTAAATAATAAAAAATCCTTATAAATACGCGCGCGCGCATACAATATTATTTATGCACTAACAACCGCGGAGGCTCACACACAGACATTTTATTTATATTTGTTATGTAATAACATATATTTGCATAACTCATTTAAGACATAACAAAAGATTTTTATCTATAATCTGTAAATATTGAATCACTCATTAAACGAGTAATTCGCATCGCGAGTTATATATTTTTTACACCTATACATTTTTTTTATCGCGTAGCTTTAATCTTTTCCCGTCGCGTCGTGGTGCGGTAAGGGAAGGCTGAGGAACCTTCATAAACTCGTCCTTCAGAATGCACAGTCGAATGAATGTGGCAGATATTTACAAAGATTGGTGACGGTTTTCGTCATTGAATCAGGGTACTCGCAGGGTAGTCTACAACCTGTAGATTTCTGCCGATAACGTGAATGAGATGCGAGGACTCGCATCACAGATGCGTATCATCGAGTGACATACTTCCTTTCGTTCACGATATGTACGCATGAACTTTCTTATCTCTTTTACTCCCACGCTTGTCAGTTAATGAGGAAATGACAAATGGTTTCACAACTATGTGGAAACTTTTCATTTCAGTTATCATTTGAACGACCAATACGGAAATACAGCAATAGGGGACTTTTACACGAAATTATTGATTTTTCAAAGTCATATCGTTCTATGAATACTTATTACGAAATATGTTTTATGAAATGCTTATTACACTCATGGTGAGATTGTATGTATTTCAGATCGACTGATATACGGATTATCGTCATATACTCTTAAATAATCAGGTGTATCAGTGGATTAATAATCGACGACGGTCGATTCGTCGCTGCGTCGTCATACTATCCGACACCATGCCAGTTTCATATTAATTATACTGTGATAATGCGAGAACAACAGTCTCCGCCTCGTCAAGACAGAGAGAGAACCGCTTTCATGGGCGTCGACAAGACGTTTCATTAGAAAAAATATATTGCTGATATGATAAGAGTTGTGTGAACTTTATATGTATTTATTTATTCTTACAAACTCACACACTCTTAATAAAATTAATAATAAAATAAAATATCTTAATAAAATTAGTCTGATCGTGTTCTAGACGTTTACTAGCATCTTAAAGAATCTAAAAACGTGGGTATCAAATAACGACAGTTTCTATTCTCTGAAAGAGATTGTTAGCAAAATGCACTAAGTAAATGTGATGAAAATGAATAACTCAAATATGAAATGTTAATATTGTCGAGAGAAAGGAAAAAAATGGATTTTTTTAAATATCCCGATATTCCAGACAGAAAACTCGAAAACTCGAATGAGCGCAATCCTTGCGCATCGCGGCGCCTATGATCGTTTCAGGATCGCACGATCCAGAAACGCACACGCGAGTGCACCCTTCCTCCGTGATAAAACGTGATCGTTACACGGGCTATAAAATTATGCACTTCACAAATACCACTACTTGTTACTTGTGACTTAACGCGAGATAACAAGCATGTAGAACATAGTTTAACAATGTCGACAGTAAAAATAGTTTAGGAAGCCATCAGAGTCCTATATCTTATCTACGCAACACGAAAATTACGCATAACATAATTTCGGTTAAACAATCATAAATTAACAATTTGCTGTTCTCAACTCTTAGAAAGCGTAACAGGTCGATAAGCGAATAAGAAGAAAAAAGTGTGCGGTATACGCGGTTTTACAAGTACGATGCGCCAACGAGAGAGAAACTCAAGAAGTCAACCGCAAACGATCGTGCTTTAAACGATCGTTAATAGTTGCTCTTTCACTAATGACGTCCGATTTAATCGCTGGTCTTAAAGAAAATAGTTCAGCAGATTATCTGCATATATACGTTTGTCTTTGTATTGTTATTTGACATCTTTCATGCAACTCGGGTATAAGTTAATAATTTACATATTTCACATTTAAAATTACCTTTCCATGCGCAAAAGACTACACGTCTTTAACACAAACCTGAAGAAAGTATATAGTGTTTTTTTATTTATTCCATTTAGTATTATATAATACAAAATCACATAAAATATTCTATGTTTCTTGATATTTAATGATATAACTCGTGTCACTATAAGGACAATTCAATATAAGATGATAAATAATAATTATTTTATTATTCGAATCGCATATATAAGTGTACAGTCGATCAATCACTGGAGTTTGTACTTTAATTAATCTTAAATTATTTCATGGATTTACGAATGTAAATGTACTATTAATTAATCGCTATAGATACAGCTCTGATTTATTTTAAATCATTTAATGGATTTAGGGATATAAATGTAACAACAAATCCATTGACGTTTTACGTGCGGATTACTATAATGTGAGACAGTAAAAAAGAGATATCGACGACGCAAAGTATTTCAAGACTACGGTTTGAAGGTCCACGGACATCGAGATGTTTTTAGGTCAAAGCTGGTTATTCCGTTATTCCGACGTTTGCTGAAAATACGTGATGTACGAAACCGAAGCAGGAATCATGCGAGAGTGCGCTTCCCTTACCGTCTTCGCACGAGTAGTTCTTGATAATTATATAATGTAGTTTCTTGGAGTTATGATTTACGTAACAAAAAATAATATTGACGCAGTTTTATTCGAGTTCAATGATTTGTTGTAAATACCCGGGTGGGAAACACATCAGAAAACGGAGCAAAAAGATAATTCGATGAAAGTTTTTGACAGAAATGTAACGAAATGATCATTCTCGCCAGAATCTTTTTTATTTCGGTTCTTCATTTCATAGAATAGATCTTTGCAAATCAAGTTGCAAAAACTATAATTAATGTATAAAAAAATAATCGTGTGTTGAAGAAAATAAAAATTACATCTCGTATCGAGATTTGTTGAGTCGATAACTTCTTGGAAAAACCTGATTTGTTATTTTTAAATGCAAGAATTGCAATTATATGTACGACAGTTTAACAGGAAGAAACGTATATGTTTTTGTTAATGCTCGTGAAACTATGGTTGCTCGTCCTCGCATGCGATCATTGTATTAGAGATCCTGTCGCGTACGGCAAAGTGAAGGGGAATCGCGGCCTTGTGTTTGCACAGCTACAATGCATGTCGCGTACGGTAAAATTGCCGCATAATTTCGGCAATCAGTGAGCTAGCTTTCCGACTCGTTAACACGCGGAGACATTGCCCGAAGAAAGAGAAATCGGAAGAAAAGAGGAAATTAAGCTTTCTCGCTGACGATGCGACGAGTGTATGAAATCAATCGAGAATTTTTTAATAACATTCCGCAATATTTATATCAGATTCTTTCAAGGCTGTTCCGCGATGTTGTATAAAACGTATCTTTTTTATGAATAAGAGAGAGAGGGAGAACTTGAAGTTTTAATTTGTGAGAGATTAATGTTTTTTTGATCGCTGCACTGGACGATACAAGAATGTTTTTTTTTTTTCGCTTTTATCGAATATCAAACATATCTATTTCATTTTAAGTACAATAAGAGTGTACAATAGGTCATTAAAAAAATCAGATATTCTAATAATTTAGAAATTCTCGACATTTCGATATTTTTCAGAAGAAGGGACTTATTACACCACAAATATAAATTTAAAAAAATTGCCCAAAATATTTTATAAGATATTATGAATGCATTATCGAAAGATTTAAATGATCGTCATTGAATACGTTATCGGATGATAATTTCTCCCCTCAAAGGTTAATTTTCCAATCGATTCCGCTAGCCAATCCCATACTTTTCGTCTGCCAATAAATAATTCGATGTCAAGCATATATATTCCGGAAAGAGAGAGGAAGCTCGATTTGTTCATGTGCAAATATTGTGAAGATCAACGATTTTTCAAAAGACACACTCCATTATTTCTGTAGATTCCAGCAGACACCACTCTCGTCGTAAGTACTTTCACGCAACATCATCAACTCTCTTACTTAAGAAATCAAGCTCGTCACAAATTACGGAGAATAATTAATCGCGCATTGAAATGCCATATAGCTGCATCCTTCAATAAGCTGCAGAGAAAACCGAAATCCGCGGTGCGGAGTACAATCTGAGAATAGCCCCTTCTCCCAAAGTTTTTCTGCGTTCTTACGAAATTTTCCACTCGCTGCGGTCCTGTGCAACCTCCTTCGCCGCGGAGTCTCACCTGACTCGCTCACAGCGAGGACCAAAGATTGCGACTGAAAGGAAACTCACAGCTTGATTTTCTCGTCATCCATGATCGATCCCGAGGTGGAGCGTTCGCGGATCCAGCCAGCTTGCAGTCGGTCGGCCGTCGATCGCACGACGTCGCCGTGTTGGTCTTCCTTGTTGAACGTTCAGCGATCTTTCGTTTCGTCGAGTCGTAGACGAATGCCAGAAAAAAAGGAAGACTAAATCGCGACTCGTCTGAGGCGGAGAAGCGATCGAGATCGAAAGGAGACACCGGTGACTGCGGTGCGTGCTGTAATCAGCAAAGTCGTGTGGATTGTCCTCTGGACGATCAGAGAGACGCGGATCGACTGCAACCGTCACTCGTCGAACGAGAAACGAAGGCACGCGGAGCTGCGGCTTGCCGCGTTCTTTCGGTGGAAGAAGACCCGTGGTCAGCCCGGGCCCATTCGTCTGACAGATAAAAGATCTAACATTAGCGATCGGTCTATCTCCCTCTTACATGCGAGTATTCACTTTCCCCCTCTTTCTCTTTTCTTTCCTATTTTTACATTTTTCTTTCCCAGTCTCTCTGCCTTTCCTTGTAGACACAGTCTGTCTTTATCAAGAATCCCCCCTCACACACTGTACACGTCGCTCTCTCACTCCCTGCTCTATCTTCTTCTCTCTCCGTCTCTTTCTTCTATCTCCATTTAGAGAAGATACGTCCCATCGAGCTTTCGTCCCACACTTGACTTCGTAAAACACACAGACTATTTTTTAGTAGTCTGTAACTTCAAGTGTCTTTGAACTTGTTTGGAAGAAATCACCTCTTGGGGAAAAAGCAGCTCTGATTCGAGAAATTTCGATTAATCGAATTAGTCACTTTTTAAGCAAAAAGTTCTGAACACTCCTCTTTCCCTCGTTATAGTGTATCACCAATATATTTATCTTGTACCTTAGAGTTTGACTACTCCGTATGTTCCTTTTGGTGTCAACAGATGCTTTCACAAGTCGGATCCGCGCGGGTTTATTGTATCTGCAAAATGGATTTAATAGTCGCGCGAATAATTTGCACGATTTATATCGACAAACACATGATTGTTTATCCCTTTCGCACTGACATCTTCGCCAATATCACGCTGGTTGTAGTATATTCGTATTTCTTTCGACAGTTTCTTGAGACCAAAGAGATTAACGTTTTCTCAAAAGTTTAGCGCGGGATTGATGATCTTGAAGTGTCGATTTTATATTTTCGCGATTTTTTTTTCATAAAAAAAAGGAGGAAAAATATTCTTTAGATCAGTATAATATATTTCTTAAAACTCCATCAATATAGCAAGAGATCCCGTTGGACGAAGCGATTCTAAGCGAAAGTCTATACATCACGCCGCGCCGTCCGTGGATAGCGAATTGAGACTGAGCGAATGGTGCAGAAGGTGAAATAAACACGCGGGCACGTTCACATAACTTTCCAGAGAGGTATTGTTGATGCACGTGATGCAGAAATACGCGGCGATTTAGAGGCAATTGATGAGCGCGTGTCGATCACGCGAGGGAGCGAATTTCATAATCAAGAGGCTCTTCCTGCGATCACGTCAATGCTCCGACGGCGTTAAATTTAAATAAACAAAAGATTCCCTAACCGAGCGAAAATCGATTTGCCCTTGAAAAAATATAGAGACTTCGTCACACACAACAGAGCCTTATTGTTTGATGATAATGACTTCTAAAATTATTACAACAAATTGGCGAAAAAATCTTAATGACGGGTTTACACTGAATCAGTATAGTTGAAAGTTCTAAATCTTAACTTTTATATATATATATAGTCTGTTCAATAAGAGCGTACGGTTCCGCATTTCATTAATAGATGATGTTAAGTTTGGTTTTTCCGACTCTTTGAACAGTTCGGAAGAATGCTTTGAGGTTATATATGGGTAATGTGACTTGTTTTGACTGTAACAGAGCAAATAACCACAATGAGTGCTGCGTATGCAAATCGTTTTGAAGCAGTGTTCCTTTGCACACATCCGAAAGAACCGAAAATATCGTACGCAGCTGCCGGGCGTTACATGCAAAAAAGTCAGAAAGATTCGTCAGGAAGTGGGTGAAACGTTACAAAACGAAACAAAAAATGTCGACGACCTGCCGGAACGTGGCACCTGACGGTCAACGACGAAGAAGGACGACAAAGCTATCATCAAGATATTTGAGAAGAATCCTGGGTGTTCATTACAACGAGCGAAAAATCTTTTATTGAAAAAGGGTTAGATGTGAGCCTTAATACTATTAGACAACGATTGCTTGATTCCGAATACGGTTGGCGATCTACAAAGAAACAATTTAACTCGTACGTTCTTGTTGAACAGACTGTATTTTTATATATCCACATTAAGTCGTTAATTATCCAGCGAATCATTCGACAACAATGAAAAGGAAGAAAGTTTAATTTAACTAATCTTAAGAAAATATATCGGTATCGTTAAAGCTACATAACACAAAAAAAAAAAAAACGTTAAGACATAAGGCGAAATCAACATATTGGATTTAGTCAAATCGCTTGCGTTTTACTGCTTAAATTTTTTGTGGCCCGTAGGGTGCATTCCACTTGATGCTCGAAATGCTCATGGAATCATTTTGTTCTCGTCGTTTATCAAATATTACACAAAGATAAATGCGAGCTTTGTAAACGCTAAATGGAACGTACCTTATTTAAGTTCAACCTAATGTTTTATCCAAAATGGAGGAATTTATTTATAATAATGAAGTCACGAATGAAGCTCATTAGGCTAAACATTAAGTTTAATCACAAGTCATGTGAAAAACCGGACCTTAGTCGTATATAAATTGGCTGTTGGCCAACTTCACCGATTCACCGATAAGACTTAGGACTATCGACTTATTTTAGACCCGGTGTTAGATAAGATAAAGATTTCAGCGAGGAAAACGCGGAAATAGTAGGTTAAATATTTTCAAACAAGACAACACAATTTATATAGTTTGTAATATTACAAAAAATGACTCCAGCAAACACAGAATATGACCGCAAATTACAGCAACATTGTAACATTTCTGCAATATAACAGGAATGTTACAATATTTGCTGCAATATTGCGGTTATATTCTATGTTTGCATGAATGTCGCAAACGCGCTCTTGAAAAGTAAATATCTTCTCTGTTGTGCTGTGTATTCTGTAATTACGTCTTTTTAAAATATTAAATTGAAATAAAACAGCTACAAAAGAGGCAGTTTAAAAGAAGATAAATTAGCTGAAAAAGAACAGTATACAGTATTTACATATATTATAACACATTCTCTTTTTTCTTTACTATATATATAATAGTTGAAATTTATCAAATATAAAAAATTATAATAAATTAAATTAAAATAAATTTAATGTCTTTAGCGTGAACATAAAAAAGTTAAACATAAAAAATGTTCGTTTAACTCTTTTAGTTGTATGATGAAAATCGTGTTCACTCGCAGCATAAAAATATAGATGCGGTATACAAATATAGACAGTCATCATTCTCGACGTGCAATGAAATATAACAAAAAGCTGCCCGTTATGTATATAACTTCTTTTTAAATGCTGATAGTGATGTGCATGGCTGCCATGGTTTGCATCGTGCATCATTGATGAATGCGCAATGCAAATATGCGTTATGAGATTCCCGGAAAAATGAATGTGCGAGTAAAGCGAGAAGATGAGAATACTTATAAATTATCTCTAACAAATGGGGTCTTATCTAAAGTTACGTTCATATGATACAGATGCGTAAATCAACACAATGTAATGCGGAAGTTCGTTTTTTTGATTCTAAATTGTACGCCTTCGCGCTATCCAAGATTCCGATAATGTTTCGAGATCGTATAGAATATGCAACTGTCTGATTAGAATTAATTGAAATTAAATCGTTAGTTGTTAAAACTTAGTAATTTTGAAAAATAATAATACTGCTTCTTTCCTCATATCACGGAGAACCTAAAAGCGAGAAGATAAGAGCAATTTTGAACTTGTTATTTACTCGTCCACGGTGCAGTCGAAGTCCATTTTCACGGTGGTGCTCGACCAGGACTACTGGCTGCTATCTAGTGCAGTGATGTTTTGTAACTCTTTCGGTAGGATACCGCAAAACGAGGGGTAGGGTTTTGTGTGAAACAATTGGATACTTAGGGTTGCATTTTTACGTTTACGCGGAAACGTGATCGCAAGAAAAAAAGGTCGTCACACAGAATGTTGGACAGTCAGAAAGAAATAATAATAATATAGGTATATCTATTAATGGATGACCTCCGACTGTCTATCAAAAACTACGTTTACGAACGGCACCGATAATAAAAAAAGCGTAAAGGTAGCAGGATTTTTAATGATTGGCATGTTCCTGGTATAGATAATTTAACGCATTATTTTTAATTTTTCAATCGATATAATTGTCATTGATTTATAACTTTCTAACAATAACAGTCAATTAAAATTACCTGTTTGGTAACGTATACGTTTGGTTGATATACGATAACTTAATTGCTATCGTATAATATATAATGGGTTTCTTATAAATAAGTAATGCAATTTAATACAAAAGTTCTAGAAAACAAAAAAAATATAAATATTTCTATTATGTATTATAAATTTTAGTAATAAATATATAAAAATAAATTTTTAATTTTTTTTCAACACAAGAATTATATATATATATATATAAAATTTAAGGTACTCTTTTTTTCATTTTCTAATTATTTTTCTCATTTTATAGTATCGTTTTAAAAATTGTTTCAATTATTCAAATTACATATCAGATTATTTTTAAACGATTTTGCTATCCACAAGGTATCATTTAAAAAAATGTATATTCTTTTTTTTGCAAAAGTATATCAAATGCTCAACGAACTCAATGTGTATTAATTCTGCTACAAACAAAAAGTTTAAGAACGAGGTATACTCGAACACATCAAAATAATATCAAAACAAGACTTACTCGTTAGCTATGTTGTTTTGTTCGACAACAGCGAGAATTTCTACGTCGGCGGATTTATCTCCGCTGTTATCCATGTCGTGAATTTTCCAGGCAGATCGCCGAGGAGGAGTACGAAGTAGTACGAACAACGCGGGTGCGCGAGCATCGAACAATTGACAGAAACCGTCCGCCAAACCGAACGCGCAGCCAAGACAAGGCAAAGGCAAATCTGCGACAGCGCGGGGTTACTATGCGTCGGGAGATGTCATTAGTGCGTGGTGGTCTGGCTCTCTCTTTCACTCTTGATGTTTATATAAATATTATGAACAAAGGGGACGCACGCATGACGACCCAGATCAATCAATTTGATATCTTTGTTTCTGCAAGAATCGTCAATAGGAACCGCTTCTGATTAGATGTACAGATGTCTGATGACGAGTCTGCATTGCTGCAATTTCACGCATTCATTGATCCACAAAATCAACGAAATAACAAAATAAGCGAAATAAGATAAACGACGATAAATGCCTTATCGCGAAAAATTAGTCCATTTCGCACGACCTCGCGCATTTATACGCTCGATCTTCAATTGAAAAATGATTTCTAAAATAATTTCTATCTCGATATGATTGAAGAATTATTGGATTATAGAATGTTTGGGTTACAGAAATGTGTCAAATTTCTTCGCTCGCCTCGCTCTGATTAGCTTCGCGACCGCGGCATTCAAAATAAATTCCTACGAAAGACACAATCGTCATTAACACATGCAATGATCCGTGCTGAAAAATACATATATCGCAAAAACTCATTAAAAATAGAATCGGATTTCCAGTATCCACAAATAAATTTATCGGTACATAATATATGTATAGACAAATTTTATTTAAAAGCCAAATATCAATAAGATTTTAACTCTTTTTTTTTTTTTGTCTTTCTTTTTTCGCAAACACCAAGTCTAAAACT